ATTTTTAAACAGGGACACAGGAAGTACCTCCCTCTCTCGGGGAAGCTAGGAGCACTGCAGGAGGTAAGATTTTATCTCTGAGCTCTGACCTCTCGGCTTTTCTCTTTTACCTTGGCTCTGTGTTTCTTATTTTAATAATACGATTGGTTACATCTACAAGGGACTGCAGCAAGCCTGATGCTGAATTTCCAACTAGGGGCTATAGGAAAAAATACTTTCAGTTTGAGATTGACACTAAAATCCCAGGCCTTATATTTCAGGCAGTGACAGAAACACCCTGACTACACAGTGGACTATGTGAGAGCTCCCTCTTTACCTTCAAGTAGGTATGTTTAGAGAGGTGTACTCTACCAAATGCCCGAGCTGAGCATGTTTAAAATAGCCACACCTTCCAGAGGCCTCCCACCACACACACACACACACACACACACACACACACACACACACACACCTTATACTGCAGAAATATTTTTTTCTTGACAGTCCCTTAAGGGCCTGGGAATAACTACTCCTTGCAAATAGGAGGGCCTGAACATGCACAGAAATAAACACAATCAGAAGGATTTTCTTTCTTTTGAAACGCCATGTAGCAACTGGGTATGCAGTGTTGGCATTTTCATAATTCGGTTGTCCCACAAGTAAAGTTCTTGATTTCAAAGGGCAAATAACTGTCTAGCAAAGGGTAGAGACAAAGACTTGATATTGCACATTTGGTCATGAAAAGCTTTTCAAACTTCTTCAGGGTCCTGGCCTGTAGGTGGCAGTCTCTGCAAATATTGTTGAGCAATGGCATTAAGTTGAATAGAGACACCAAGAGGGTAATTCAATTGATAGTATCAGTGAAACTTCCTTCTCCACAAAGTGCCTAGACACTAATGGATACAAACTGACCATTACCTAAAGTTTTCTTAGCAGGTTACATGATACTCTACAAATTCACTTTTTCATAGCAAATAAGTACTCCAACTTAACAAGCAGGTGCCAGATTCTGTCAAGTGGTAAAAGGAAGCACCTCTGTTGTAAGACAGGACAGTTTACCAGAGATATAGCAAAAGATTCTTTGTATCTTTAACTCTGAAAACAATTGTGTGAATTATTTTCCTGTTTTAAATGAAGAGGTTGATGAACACAATTTCCTCACTCCTGCAAAGTGATAGGGAAGCAGTGAAAATCTGACATATCCTGTACTTTCTCTTTTGCCTTCAGAATCTCGTGTTGAAATAGAGACAATCCCAAAACAAGCATGCTTTTCTACACAAAACACATTAACATGAAGCTCTGTCTCACCTGGTGTCCACAAATGAAGGTCAGAATGCTTTAATGGGGACTCTATTAACTCTCTATAATGAAGGAGTATGTGGTCTTGGTTCAGTTAAATGGTTAGGAGCCACTTCAAATGACCTGATAACTGTACCATCAATATCTGAAATATCATGTTTTATGAATTTCCTGTTTAGTTTGACAAGTTCCTTTAGAACAAAATGACTAAGCTGTGGTAGAACACAAGAGAATAGAGGAAGCTCATATGGAGAGGAACCAGGAGCCTGGACACTATCAAGTCTACCCTATTCACAAACAGCCATAAACATACTTCCATCCATGAAGTAAGAGCTTTTAGAGTGAATGTTGTTAGTGTGTCTTCTAGAGTCAGAGTAGCATCTCTGTGACCTGAGACCAAGGGAAGCAATATTTTTATACATGGTGCTTAAATAGGATGAAAAGAGAATTTCTTTACTAGAAATGGGCTTTAGGATGGGGAGACTTCAAGGAAGAACAATAGTAGAAGAGAGGTTGGATGAAGAAGAAAGGGGAACAGTGAACAAGGAAGGGTTAAATGGGGGATGAGGGGTTGGCAAAGAGAGCAAGACAGGAAAAGGGAGGAATTTCTACCAGTAAAGGCCACATGAAAAAGTAGCACTGTGCGAGTTTCACGTATGTACATGTAAAGGTATATGTTTGTGTATATAACCTGAACTCTCAAACTACTGCAGAGGATCCTGGTTCCTGCCTTTAGGAATTTGCAATCATTTTCCTGGATTTGACAGCTCAGAAGATGCCCTCTGAAATATGATTCCAGGTGAAATAATTGTTTATCTCATGGGAATAGAGTTTCAGGAAAGCTGAGGTCTGAGGGGAACAAGAAACAGCTTTGTCAAATAATGTGTGAATCTTGAATACGGGACTTGGCTAAAATATGATCTGCTCAGTGATACTTAGGCCTCATGTTTCATACAAGGTCACAAGTCTAGTTGACAGAGGGTAGGGTAGATACTGAAGCATTTCTCGGATGTGTCCTTCATAGAGTGCTTCAGAGATGGGGTAGCTCTAGTTTTCTTGAATCATTAATTGTTAATATTTTTATCCCTTCTCAGATTATTTGTTCCTGCTGGACACTATTGCATTCTTAGAAATATGTATTCACAACATCAAGCAGTCCAGGCTGGTGGGAAATATTAGGAGTAGATAACACTTGGAATTGCAAGTTCTACTTAGTCTTAATCCCATATGAGAGTCCTGCGACTTCATCCTTGTGTTGCTCCAATTTTGACTCTTGAGGGTGACCATTTACAGAATTTAGCCTTAAGAAAACTAGGCAGAAATGTGTTTTTCACTGTGACAGGTAAGTTGTAATGTGTTTTATGCACCACAACCAAAGATGATAAAGAAGTAATGAAATAGCAGAAATGTATTAATGACCTAGGCTACATGTATGTTTTATCTGAAATGAAGCAGAGATAAAAAAAAATCTCATGAAGACTTAAATGATGTCTCTGTGGTTAAGAATACCTGGTGTTATTCCAAAGGAAAAAAACTGAGCTTGTTTCCCAGCATGCAAGTCAAGCAGCTGACAACCCTCTGTAACTGCAGTAAGTGTATTCAGTGCCTCTAGACACTGGGGCCACTGCACACAATATTAGTCACCTTTTGAGAGTTTATTAGGTGCATTTCTTGCTAAGTTGATAAAAAAGAAACTTTCTGCTTCATATCATTCGTTGATGGGACTCTAATTCAGCAGAACTAAGCCGTTTTTACAGTGTGAGTGCCACCCAGATACCATGAGCTCCCCAAAAAAAGAGAAGGGTATGGGCAAGGGGAAACCATAAGGTGAATGTGTGTGTCTGCAAGTCACTCATTATTAGGGTAGAAAATTCATGACTTTTGGATTGGTAGCTACTTAGTCAAGTTTGCCTCCACTACTTTGACCTGAGATTTTGAAGCATGTTACAGATGCCATATCATCATGATACTAGAACACAGAGGCCCAAAAGCATTGGCAAACAATGTGTCCCAAAGTCCAGAATGTGGAAAAATGCTAAGAACAAATTATAGTGCTGAAAGATGAGCAAATATAAAAAGAAAATGAAAAGTTGTTTTCGCTGCCTATTCTTACCACAAAAAAAAAAAACCCACCTCAAATCTAGGGACAAGGTATGACACAGCAGACATTCAGAGTTAGAAGACAGACTAGAGTCTAGGATTAAAGCTGTCATTCTCAGCAGCAACATGTCAGCAGACTTGGCTTCACACACACTAAACAGAAGCCAAGGACAAAGGTGAGAACAAAAGAGAGCAGGTGATGTAAGAACAGAGGGGGATAAGGATGAAAGGAAATGAAAGTTCATTGAAGTGAAATAACCAGAATAAATAAATATTAAAAGAAATAATCAATTAATCCTCTGAACAAATAACCATTGCGTTGATAGAGTACATGCACAGAAGTGCAGAAAGTACCTTCCCTTATGGATAAGTCACTGTTGGGAAAAATACTCTTCAAATAGATTTCTTGCGAACACATCATGGGTTACTAGTACTTTATCCATCATCACAAAAATTATTTCTTGAACCAGTTTATTTGAGAAAGTTTTGTATACCTACAACTAAACAATATAATCTAAAAGGATTTTTTTGTTGCTGATTTTGTTGGTGGTGGTGTACAAAAGGCTGTCAAATGTAACTTCTAAGCATCCTGTAAGTACATTTTCATTACAGATTGTAGATGACTCTCCTCTGTGAAAAGATCATCATAAGAGAAGATGGAATTACCACCCCATGAATCAATTTGAAGAAACACTGCTATGTTTTAATATTTATGTTTTTCATGGCAAATTTCATGCTAAGTGTGATTCATTCTCAGAGATCAAATGATCAGATAGCCAGTGACATTATCTAATGTCCATCTCTTTGTAATTAAAAGTCAACAGAGTCTGAAACTGATGAGTTAGTGATGAAATGGAGCGGAACATATGGAAGTACTGGACTGTATAGCCATGGACTCTAATGCTACTGAAGAAGCAAAGCTGTCCAATTATTGTCTCACATACAAATGTACAAGATTAGAAAAGTTCTAACACCGACACTACAAAGAGAATGCGCAGATGATCACAGTGAAGAGTATCATTTACTCTAAAGCATTACATTTGTAGAGTAAGATTAAGAGAAAATATGGGAAAATTTGATGTTTTGGTCAGCAAGAGTGCTGAATTCAAAAACTCATGTTTGTCTTGAGCAAATATTTATCATTTGATAAATGAGAATAGAATGTAGGTTTAATAAATTACTAGAGAAACTTTCTAAATAATTTCATGGTGGTCAACACTCACATTTATTATATCAACTCAGAAGATGAAAAACATATTTTAGGGATTACAATAAATATGACTAGGCTCAGCTAAAGTTAAAATGTAAATGTTTACAAGTTGCATTAAACATTAATATTTACTGATAGAGGTTTGCAGTTTCTATGAAGCAAACTTACAATAACTACAAATCCAAACTAATTGATGCCACACTCTATGGCTGAAAAAGAAAGACTGAGAGTTTGGTGGGGATTTAAGCTACAGAGGTATCAGGAGAGGGTTTCCAGCAGCAGCAGAGTGGCCTCCACACCCTCCAGGTAAAGGCACAGCACAAGGACACTGAACATGAGAACAATCAGGTAGGTCAGGGGTCATATGTATTAGTTATCTTTGGCAACAGTCAAACCAAACTCATAATGTGACACTACAGTTTTGTCGTTCTAATATGCTATATTCCTAGTAGACTCATATGTTCAAATATTTTGTCACCAGTAGACATTTTTTGTTTGTTTGTTTTTTTTAAGTAAATTTATTTTACAACATCATTTAGTTCAACATAATAGCCACAGATTCCCCTGTTCTCCCACTCTCGCCCCCCTCCCCCTCCCCC